GCTTGTTTCCTCAGGTAACCATAACCTGCTATGTCTCCCAGGCTCGTTAGGATGTGAACTTCGCACAATGTACCAACCCATCTCTTGTAATAAGTTATGCATCTGAAGCCTGTTATCAATGGTTACAGTTAAAAGAGATTTTTGAATCAGATCACTTAATCCAATCTTAGCTCGCATACCGAAGCTATCAAGTTTTCTCATCACATATTCTTTCTTCTTCCCCTTAAAAAGACAAGCAATATCCAGGAATATCCTCCTCTCCATGTCATTCAGTGCATCAAAACTCACTTTAAGCTTCTCCAAGATTTTATCTTCGGGAATTTCTTCCAATCTATCCAATGCATTTTCCCATTCATCAATATCTCGTCCATGTAAAAAAGAGCCCAACACCTTAAGAGCTAAAGGAAGACCGCGAGCATATCTAACGGCCGCACGTGCAAGCTTTTCAAATTTCTCTTTGGGAAAACCTTCCTTAAAGGCAAATTTCCTAAACAGCTTCAATGCTACATCAGTCCCTAAGAAACCGACCTCATATACTTCATCAACTTCACGTGCTGAAAGTAACTGCCTGTCTCTTGTTGTAATGATGATTCTGCTACCAGCACCAAACCAATCATGCCCTCCAGCCAATCGGTCTAAGTGCTCAAGTTCATTGACATCATCAAGAACAACAAGCACCCTTTTGTGACGTAACCTTGTCAATAGGATAGACACGTTACTGTGGAGATTCGCACTTTTTTCCTTCAGAGTGTCGGAGAGTAATTTTTCTTCTAATGAATTCAGTCCTAAAGTTTTGGAAACTTCTCTTACATTGTCAAGATAGCTACTGCCTTCAAATTTGGTAAATATTTGATCGAAAACTGTCCTGGCAATAGTTGTTTTTCCGATGCCACCCATACCCCATATACCTATCATGCGAACATCTTCAGTTGACTCGAGATTCAAGAGTGACATCACTTGCTGAACGTGCGACTCTACTCCAATGAGGCTTTCTTTAACTCGAGAGGCTGTATGGCTCAAATTGTTCAAAATATCTAGAGCAATTTTTCTGATGCCTTTCGACTCGTGCCTGAAGATACAATCGCAGACTTTGAGTTAGAAATGAAATTAAATCATAATAATGTCTTGGTTAACATTAGATTGCATATTTTTACAAATATCAATTAAAAAAAACTAGTTTAAATCACTCACAATTTAAATATCCTGAATATGAATGCATATTATCACAAAATAACGAAAAACCATAACCATAACCATGTTATAAACATGTTTTAAAGTATGCTAACAGTATGATTTGTTAGTTAATAAAAGGTTCAAGATAATAATGTGACGAAAAAAAAGAATAAATCATAAAAGTCTGATAATTTATTAAGGTTAAAGACCCTTAACAAGGAAGAGAAAAAGTGTTGGTAATTTACCCATCATCTTTATGTTCGATATCCCATCCAGAAGCATTAGCAGCTTCCCTCAAAGCATTCCTCCAGCTCTCAATCTTCTCTTTCTCCACCTTTGGATCATTTTCATATTTGTCAAAAGCTATTTTATAACTCCCTTCTTGCTTCCTAACTTCAGAAGGCTCCACATAGTAGAATACAGGATAAATCTTTTGGCCAAATTTCTGGTTACATTCAACGATCTTAACAATCTCATCTAAACACCAAGAGGAATTGGCATAGTTTTTTGAGAAGATAACGAGTGCGACTTTGGATCTTTCAATGGCATTTTTGAGTATTGGGGAAATGGAACTCCCTCTCTCGAGTTCAATGTCGTCTTTGAAAGTGTCGATACCCTTTTCGTGTAAAGTTGTATAGAGGTGGTCGACGAAACCTTTACGGGTGTCTTCACCTCTGAAACTCAAGAAAACGTCGTAACTCCATACAGGGGCAATGGCAGTGGAAGAGGAATTAGAGGCATTTGTAGAAGACATTTTTGAGTGTTGCTGGTATTTTTGCTGCTTGAGTTGTATAGAGCTTTGGAGTGTTGCTGGTATTCTTGCTGGTTCGGATATATAGAACTTGTTTGAGAAGAATTTTGAAAAGAAAAATAATTCTTGTTCAAGTTCGTGAAATTAAAATTAAAAACAAATTATAATTTTTTATTGATTTACCTGTGCTTTTCCCCAGGCGACGGTAAACATATTTTAGAGAAGTAAATTTTACATTTAGTCCCCAATGTTCTAGAAAAAGGATTAAACTATTTGTATACATAAATTGTACACTTTAATTGACACCGCATTATATGTTAAAAATTTGAAAAATGATATTCATCCCCAGTGGGGATACATCTCCGGTCTATGTAGATGTAAATGACCGGTTAAATGATATGTGAAATTAAATAACTTATTTAATTTCACCTATCATTTAATGCTACATTAACGCCACATAAATTGGGGATGCATCTCCAGTGGAGATGAATAGCATTTCTCTAAAAATTTGGCATTTAATTGAAAAAATTATTATCATAATCAATGCACCAAAATTTGTCAAATCAAACGGGTGTAACACATTCTGTCAATCTTTATGGATATACAACATTGTCTTTAGAGAAATTACAAGTTGATCATTAAAAAAAAATCCACCAGTTAACAAAAAATTCTGCTACTTCCACTCTGTTAGTGATATACATGAATGATGAGTCCAACATTTAACCCATATTTGGTGAAAATTAAAATCATATTTTTAGTAAAGTTTGATAAAAAGTTAATGAAATGTGTGATTGAAAAGTTGTGGATCTCATAAAATATATAGTTAAAATTAATTGTTAACTTTAATTTTAATAAAAATTTAACTTATAATTTCTATCAAACAGGGGCCTAAGCTGTTTTACGATATCTTGTGCAATTGAGAGGTAAGGCCCTGTTTGGGATTACTCTGTCAGTCCAACTTTTGATTGTTAAAACAATTCACAACTATTTTAGGTGCATGATAAACTTTCAATTTTAAAAATAAAATTAATTCATTTCATGTTCAAAGTTGGTATTCTACATTTAGCTCAAGTTTGGTTAATTGGTTCAGCTACAAAAGTCAATTAAATTTTAGTTAAAGTTAATAATTAATTTTAATTACACGTTTCATGCAATTCCACAATTTTTCAATCAAATATTTCATTAATTTTTATCCAAAATTAATTAGAGGAGGAAGGCTTGACCTAAATGATTCTTCGGTATTTGAAAGTAGAGATGGCAAAAACTTGTTAAACCCCGAATACCTATGGCCATGTACCGAATGTGGAGGGGATGAGGCGGTATGCAAAATATGGTTCTCGTCCCATTTAAAATTCATTTTAATGGTATAAGTTTTGTGATCACACAGAAAGAAGAGGAATCATCATTTCCAATTGGAATGTGGACTATTCTACAATTGGAAAAAAATAATGATTTTCACCTACTAAAAATATGGAAAACTATAAATAAATAAATAGAGCGATAAACGGGGTAAGGATCTACCTTGCCCGTCTTAGCTCTTGTCCCAACCTCTCCCTATCCCACCTTAATCAGGGATAAAGGCGGGGCAAGGTGAGGAAAAACTCGAACGTGACGGGGGACAAAAATGACTGTCCCGACCCCAATCCCAATTCATTTCGTTGTCATCCCTACTTAGAAGGTCTTCGCACTCCTCCATTGAGTGGAACATTTTCTTTATTTTGAGAACTTTGAAAAAAGTAAGGCATTTGTTAATGACTTTAGAGATAAACCACTTATGGCTGCCACCCCTCCAGTGAGACTCTACACCACTTTAGATTTTCGAGGCAAATGCATCTCTTCTAAGGTCTTTGTCTTTTCAGGGTTGGCCTTGTTGCCTCTATGGTTGACCATGTAACCTAGGGAGGCATGACAGGTATAGTAGTTAGTCAGCTATATAAAGATCGAAGTCCTATGTCACGTATCACATGGCTAAGTCACTAAAATCAGAACTGCCAATCGATGCTTTAAAGTCGTTCCTTGTGCTAGCCTTGAGACTGTNGGCACTAAAATCAGAACTGCCAATCGATGCGTTAAAGTCGGTCCTTGTGCTAGCCTTGAGACTGTGGTTCGGGGATATCTTTGTATGTATGAATTGTGCATTCAGCTGCAACTTAAATGCCTTTAAATATAGCCACTGATTCAGTTATGCCTTTATATAGCGGTACAGGAAGGGATTCAATATTTAGAAGAGGATGAAGAAAAAGAGGGGAAAGCAGAAGATAGTCAACACTTTTGTCGATATTAACACTTCGTTTTCATTTTCTTCTCTGAAAACTGAAGATTTGCTGTTCAATCATGACATTTGTAGTAATGTATCTTCTTCTTTTTTCTACACGTTCTATTTGCTTCCAAAAGAATTTGTTCTTCTATATGAAATAGAGTACACATAAGGTATGGCCTCACTGGGCTTTCTTCTTGCCTGGTGAAGGGAAATTGATGTTGCATTTGTATTTTGCTTTAACTACATCCATTTTACGAAATACTGAAACACTTACCGGAAGAGAATGCATACGACCATATCTCAAGATCACATTTTAGTTACTCTACTTACCTGCAGTGTCAATCTTGTCATCCACAATAACTATAACTTTTCCTTTAACATCACACATCAGATTCATTACCTGCAAAAACATACTTGCTGAATCAAGAACTCAAATCTAAGCATGACAAAGTTACCAGAAAAAAAGGGTAAGAAATATTTTTTCATTTTTTGCCAAACTTATGATGCCTAGGCGTATTAATGTTTCAAAGTAACAGAAATGAAAAGTACATTTTGTGTTGACCTCAAAATGAGTTGTGAACAAATCTCGAACCCACTCGTGCATGTGTAAGTTAATTCCGACACATAATAACATATCAACGGTCGAGATCGCTTCTAAATTGGATGTGGGAGAAACTCATCGACACGAGACGTTTCCGTTATTCAGCAAAATAAAGAGGATACAATTGTACAAAATTATCAATCGCAATGAAATCGAAGTAAAAGACTGAAATTACACATGGCCTCATTTCCTTGACCGAAACATCTAATCCTAGCCATCCTTTAGACATTCTTAGCTTACATCGCATTTAATGCTCATGTATCCTATTGACAAGATAAGACAAGACACAAATATACTTTTACAAATGTCATATCAATCATTCCACAATAAAAATCAAGACCTTTGCACGTGGGCTATCACTACCCAGGGTAGAGCCACAGACTTGGTCCCTCGACATACCAACCTCAGAATGACTAACGGGTCTCAAAATTTCCCTAGGCCTTGCTTTCTATGGCTGATGCTTCGGCAAGGGTGGGTCCATAGCTACAGTGGGTCGGCCACGTGGCAATGCTAGTGGCGGAGTCATAATATTTTGATTCTGTGCTTGCATTAGTTTGTAAATCAACTTAAATTGTACTAGAAAAAATAAAATTTATCTAGCTACTTCTATCGGAGCATTGTCCAGAAACTGCATTACAAAATTTCATAACTAAAGTTCAAAAAAATTGAAAACCTATACAAGAGAAAATACATTTGCGAGACACCAATTGTGAGTAGAAATGCTAGGATCACAAGAATTCTTAATGTGCGAAATCTTCACTATTCATAAGTCATTTGCCAGCCATTTTTGCAATACCCTAAATATATAAACTAAATAAAATGTAAACTATATAAGTAATGGTCAATGTTCATTTTCTCACAAGTGGCATCAATTCAGAAATCTACCAAGTTCCAGCCTTCCTGGAATAATGTACTAAAGATACTGATAGTCAATACTCGTACCATATACTTCAAGAAAGGCACTGAAGGTCACCCCTATATTCAAAATGCTCTCCATTATATGTTGATTATAATTGTGATATTTATTTGATGTGAAATTTATCCCACCAGCAAGATACTGGTCCATTTGAACAAATAAATCTTCAAATATGTGCAGTAGTATTAATCGGAACAAATTGTTTGTATGAGCTTAGAGGATTCTAACTTGTAGTTTTATTTTTGAAGGTGCAACCTTATAACCATTACCGTGTTAAAAGGATAACCTTATATGCCAGTTATAAATGTGATGTTCATTCGAAAAGGAATTTATCCTTAACACGTCTCACGAAATGATGATTCGTTTGAGCGAACAAATCTTGAACTCATGTATTTGAGTTTTAATTAGATTTAATTGCTTGCGTTTGAGTTTCTCAAACACTTTTTTGTTAATTATAATATTAAAATTAATTGAATATGAGATTTATTCCTTAATATGCAAGTTTTATAATCACCTCAACTAATTAAATAATAGGGGAATCAGAAGAAAAACCTAATCCTAAATCCTGATATGGTCATAAACGAAGTTTCTTGGAATGATTTTTCTCCTAAACAAATCAGGGAGATTCATGTCCAATTAATTTCAACAATTCTTTTAGATGAACACTGGCCAATAATAAGCTTAATCTTTTGATAAGATATTTTTTGTGAGTTTATGTTGTATAATTGATCATAGCGAACAAGATATCTTTTGTTGGGATGCAACATTCAGATGTTCGTACCAATTATTTATTTTCTTTGGTTTTGTTGTCGCCTGCTCTGAAAATCTGAATCAATTAATAAGGGGATTTTTTTTTTGTTTTTGCTGTAATGGCAAGTTCATGGTAGGATAATAGTCAGGGGTAGATCCAAGAGCGCAGCCTAGATCCAGTTGGAAAGTTTTTTGAGAAAATTACATTAAACCTTATTTTAACTTTCAATTTCATAAATTAGGTGCAATTGATTCTTTCAAAAAATTTGGTGTACTCCGCCCCACCTCGTTCCACACACCCCCACTTATTGAAGAAACTCTAACCTTATTTTCATCTCCAAACCCCTGCCATCCTCACAGTCCCAACCCCCACGAACGTCAACCGCCATCATCAACCACCGCTTCCTCACTCCACGGCCACATTTTTCTCATCTAATTACAGCATAGTGAGTACATCTCCACCGCCAGCCACCACT